ACACGCCGCATCCACACAAACACCCATACCCCACACGCACACCCTCATTAGATAGAGGGTATTTAAATCCTTATACCAAACACAAAAACTAAAAAACTAAAAATTTCGGGTCGGGAAAGGGATCCCTTAAGTGGATTTATAACAACAGAAATGGATGAACCCTCAATAGGGAAAAAAAAGCAAAAGATTAAGATAATATATATATGTATATAATATTATTTTTAATGGTTTTGGAAATGTTTATATTTCCTGAGTAACACTGATGAATCCATGTATACAGTTAATTCAACTAATGTCCTTTTCAAAAAAGAAGTCCGATGGCTATTTTTCAAATAACTCGGAAATGCTTCGTACTATCGAGTTCAGGTTTTCGGCATTCGAAAGAAGCTTTCTTACTGCATCGATCCATATATAATTGTTTAAGTTCGGTTCATAATCAAGTATTCATCCATAGTCATCTTTAAAGAGAAGACTGTAACTCTATCAAGATGCGACGAGTTATAGATTTTGTGGAGTACACTAGAGCCACTGATTAACAATCCACAAATCTACAAAAGGCCGAAATTTTAACCACGATTCGTTCAAAAGTTATTAGCTTAATACTGTGAGCATCTCACAGAGTTTTTGTCATTTTCACCTAATGGAGAACATTTTTAAAATTACCGTTGGAGGTGTTTTCGATCATTATGAATCGATTGGCGGTGTTTATTTTGCGAGTGTGGGTGTTGTCATAGAGAGAACACACACCCATACCTTATATCCCCGCTTATACCTCACACCATACATTCACACTCACCCACACTAGACGTCGGCGTGACGAATAATTATTAGTCACGGTCACGATAAGTTCGATCATGTCACAGCGGTCGCGCCAATATCTAGTCACGTCATGTCAAAACTTTTCCTACTATTTCGACCATCGCACGCGACATCTTTGCTGTTCCTGCATCAAACATCATGATAGAGAGACTATTTTCTAGTTCAAAAAATACGATAACATATAAACGAACAATATTAGGTATGGACAAAATTGATAAAATAATGTTTTTGAGAAAAAAATCTTCATGTTCTTAAAACTTTAATTGACCAAAATCTAAATGAAAATAAACAAACTCAAGAGAAACGGGAAAATGCTCAATCATCAAGTAAATCATCTGATAAAAGCATAAAGAAGTCGAAAGTCAATGAAAATGACATGATTATTATTCAAGAAAAAGAAAATATTTTTTAGTAGTTCATGTTTTTCTAAAATATTTCTATGTAAACTCTTTAAAATATATTTATAGTGTATATATAATTACTGCTATTGTGGGTCTATATTGTATTGGTTATATTTCTTTGTTTTGAATTAGTACAATTCAATAAAGATGTCGATACATTTTGAAAGGATAATAAACGTAAAATATTTAATTCTCTGATTTAAATTATAAAACAGCCGTTTTATGGCTATATTAAAAATTTATCGTGACTGGTCATAACCAGAACCTGGTCACGGTCACAACCGTGACCATGATCATAAGTCATGACGGTCACGCCGGTGTCTAATCCACACTCACACAGTCACTTTTTCAGAAGACATTCATCTGTGTTTTCATACCAATACTATGACTCAAGTCTTCAAGCAAAATCTTTCAATTTATTCATTATTGCTACATATCGTCATTATGACACTTACGGATATCGTTGAAAAATTTGACGAAAAATCAATGATCGATAAGTGTGAAATCAGCAATTCAAATTAGATTTCTCTCAAAAATAATTAGTCATAACATCTAATCAACGCAAAACTTTGCTAGAATTTTCTAAGAAATACGAGTTGATGCTGGTCGAATAATATACGTTAATGATGTCAAAGAATTTCTTTTGTAGTGTTAGTGGCTAATTCTGTTTGCAGAGGTGATTCTGCTTCTTCAGCTGTCATCGGTGCCTTTGCTCCAGTATCAATTGATGAAAATCCATAATGACAAATAATAAGTGTCGTCAAGGAGACTATCATCATGGAGATGAGTGTCAACAGCGACACACGAAATGAGAAATAATTTAATAGTAGAAAACCAAGAGCTGATGAGCCTGCGTGAAATATTTTGAAGTTGGCGAAAGCATCGGAAGGTCGCATTTGTCCAAAGAACGTGCCTAATATAGCACCTAACTCTATGCTCAAAATGGCATTGCTCATGCCGACTCCAGTGGCTAGTGCAAGAAATATGTAAATATTTTGTTGATCTAGAGGTGGTTTCCAGATAGTAAGGAGAAGTGCATAGAGAGCAGTCGGTAGTAGTAAACTCCAAATACAAACAGGCAAACGACGACAAAGTCGATCACTAAGCTTTCCAAATGCTATGGCACGAATTGTATTTACAATATTTGCTACCGCGAAGACAAAATATTTACCAGTCTTGTCCTTAATTAATGGTGGTAGGCCAGCGTAGAGAAACGATTGTTGGACGCCATAATAGACCATTGTTGGCACCAGAAACAGAAAATAAGCATCCTTTAGCAGCGATAAGCTGGAGATTATTGAGTTTTGTTTTTGTTTTAAAGAGAAAAATGAACGCACATTGGTTATCAAAAAGATTTTCATTTCTATCAGAGCTGTTTTCCAGCAAAAGAATCATTTACGGAAGAAGGTTCAGGTATTTTAGTCAGATCGTGTTGAGTTCTAGAAGATTTGTGACGAACTCTTCTCAATGTTTCATTTAGACGAAAACCGAGCATCCATTCTATACCTGTTTTTGGTGGCATATGTACAGGTCGCAGTAGGCATAAAGTAATCGTTCCAAAAGCACAAATGATAGTCATAATAGAGAAAATGATCCATTCACGCAATTGAAGATAGAACAGTAGAGATGTCAGTAGAGTTCGTAGTGCTTGACTAAACTGAAACACCCCAAAAAAAATTCCGTTCATAAAACCAAGCGTTGATGAAGGCACGAGTTGATTGCAAGCTTCATGTTCATTAGTTGCTAGTGTCAGATACGCACCTTGAGCCGTCCATAGGGTCGCTGCACCGATACCCAGAGTAAAGCCAACAACGTATAGTATTCACTTGATATATACGATGTTACAAGCAGCAAAAGCTACGTAGACAGAACTAGTTAGGACAAGTGACAAGCGAATACCTAACACTTGCACTAAATAGGACGATAAAATCAAGCTCGACACACAGAAACTTATGTAGAGTAGAAATAAGGCAATGGCACCGGCACTGGGATCTGCAGATGATATTTGAAACATTTGTACCACGAAAAAAGACATGAAAATGAGTAGAAAAGAGAAACTCCAATGAACAATTTTGAAAATATTCGATCGATTCATGTTTGCGCAAAGCAGGTGTTGTTTTTTTTGTCATGAGACTGTTTTATTAAAAATCATCTAATCACCACAAGATATATGCTTTGTTGATTCTTGTCACCGATTAATACGATTGAGGTTGACAAAACCACGTATTGCCGCTGTTCTTTTTCTTGAATACTCCCTAAATCTTATCAGTTACAATGAAAGTAATGACGAGTTATCAATATCAACAACGTGGAGACATTTTCACTTTCTTTTAACTTTCAGACATAAAAGAAAAGTTTTTTTAAACTTTTCTTTCGAAAAAGAAAGAAAGACAACAATGAAACGTTTTTGTTAGAAATTAATAGTAACTGTATTATCGATTATACTTGGAATAAAACAGTAATTATAATAACAATATCTCTAATGGATTCTATACTTTCTTTTATTTTTGCAAAGTTTTCTCTTTACTCTAAGTTATCTTCCTAGTCTCGGTGTTTTATATCTATATTCTTTCTTATAAAAATAAATATTTAGCTTTATTCTAGTACAAACCTCGTATAAGTTATCGATGTTTTCCAATGAAACATTTGGTTTCAAATGAAGAATTTCCTTTTCTGTTTCTATCCAGTGTTTCATATAAATTTCATTCAATTTCGAAATAATTAAAGAATTTTCTAAAGGTTTAAATGAGATTTTATATGATCATATGTGGTCTGTATATTATACAACCAGTCTGCCTATTGTATTTTCTCTTACTGTCAAGAAAATAAATCTATAGAGATAGAAAGTTAAGACATAGACGAGTTACTAGTGACCTTTCAAAAGAGATTCGAAGTGCCAAATGATACTGTCTAGTGATTTTCAAAACTCGAAAGTAAGTGTCAATGGATATCAACCGATGCCAAATTCAAAGATTTGGAATACGACTTAATTAATTTTCTAGTGGAACGTTCGAAAAACTGCCTTGCACATTAGAGACAAGTTAACATCTTTCACTATCACTCATCTGTCTAATACTCCATAACTGCTTCACAAAGTCGCAGAAATTTCTTAGACCAGCTACATTGTTAGCTCTCGTTTTGGGGATTATGTAGCAATGGTAGAACTAATATTTAGTCTGCCAAAAATGGAGAGCTAAACATGTTTTAATAATCGACTTTGCCGTCGTTTCATATATAGAATATATTGAGTATCGAGTGATCGATACGATAGAACATCAACAACTGCGCAATAACGAAAGACAAAAAGATAATCACGAGATGAATCATAGTTGAGAGATTACGTAACAAATCAAATTAGAGATTCAAAAAATAGATAACATAAGATAAACGTTTAGTGTCAGTAAGCACCATCTACTGACGCTAACATACATACTGATCAAATATTTCGTTCTCATTTCTTTTTTTCCAAGAGTAGATGACTGATATTCGAATATAATAATACCATGTTTTAGGTTTTATTGCTTCGTATTGAAGAAGAAGCGATCATGTTCGACCTTAGCGGCTTTTTCCGCTTGAAATCAGCATTTTTGTTACCGATTGAATATTTGTTCAACCCTCGTACTCAGTCGTTCGGCTCAAAACTTTGTTGAAAAACTTGCTAACACAAATGAATTTTATCATAGTGGAACTCAAGGTGTTGGTGAAAATCTCTGCATGACAACTGGTTCAAATAGTATCAAAATTAATGGTAGCCCATTTTCAAATCATCCATTCGTATTTTTAAGATTTTTTATGATTATTTCGATCATCATATCGTGCAACGACAAATCTCGCTTCTAATTTTCTTAATAGTTCCAATAAAATGACAATACATTCATATATTGAATTTCGAAAAAGTGACATTGAACCCGAATTATTGATCATAATACAGCAACAAATATCATGTTGTTCAGCTGTTATATTTATTAATGACTCATATGCTGCTCGAAATTCAACTAGAATCGTATTGATCATTTGAAAAATTGCTTTCGATTTGACCAGATTTGATATTTTCATCGAGTTTAGATCGTTGATTAAGTATTCTAGCGGGGAATGTTTACGGGACACCCACTTTTTTTTTATATAAATCAATTAAATTCATTTTTTTTTCATGTGTTCTTCAAGAGTTGTTTTAATTAGATCAATGTTAATACTGTGATCATCAGGAATTCCACTACTCATATCGCATGAAGTATCATCGGAGTTGTTGATCAACATTAAATCTGATGTTCATATTTGTGATGTCAATTGTAGAACACAATTAGAAACATTTGCAATACGATTTTTATCTTTGTTTTTCATTAAAACCTGTGTTTTAGCTACTTTGAATAAATTATTCGTTTGATTTGCATTTCCATTTGTCATCGCGTTTGCTCATTATTATTGATCATGTAAAATAAGATATACATTGACCATTTTAGTAGTTGTATTAGCTTTGTAAATAATCAAACTTATCTTAGCACGATATTTGACATATTCTTCGATAGCATTAGTACATTTTTGTATTATTTATTTAGAATAAGAAGAAGATGTTATAATAATTTCTCTTGTTTCTGTTACTGTAGATGCACTAATGGGCAACGATGAACTGTTTGAATTCGTTTGAGAATGATTGTTAAATTGTAACAGAATTCGTTTGATTGAATATGAATTCAGTTCTGTTTGCTATCATTTGGTAATGAGACAATGAATATAGAATAGTCATTAAATCATTACTACATTGTGGGGTGTGGGTGTGGATCTTCTCTTCAGCTTTCAGCACATCCACATGGACACCCACACCCACACCCCAGTGTAACACTATTCCACCCAGTTGGCAAAGCATTGTATAAATATTTTAGTAATTATCAGCGAAATAAGACAGAGTGTGTATACACTAAGATCAATACCCTATTACTAATATAGTTATAAATAAATACTAAAATAATTCCAAGACATCAGTATCTATAATTAGCGCATCTTCTTCTAAACACATACGAATGAAGACTCTAGTAATCCCTTATGTGCTCCATACATTAACATATCAAACAGCAGAACATTACGCAAAAGTCATCTAACAACAGGATGATAAAAATCGTCTATAAAAAAATATACTCTACTTTACGTACACTGAAATTCCTCACGCAATTCTGTCAACCACTGCATGCTGTTGAAAATTTATATCAATAGAAAAAAAAATATATACGAACATATCAGTCATGTATCCTTAGCATTAAAACAGTCAAACCAACAACAAAGAAAACAGACGCAAGAATGCCGAATCCAAAACTTCAACACTTCGATTTCAAAACTAAGCATGAGAACAAAAGTCTCAAATATATAATATAAACTTGAACAAACAGCTGCTGATATCACTCAAATACGCAAACCTTAAAGATTAGAACATAATTTTAAATATAGACAAAAAATTCAACACGCTTATAAAAACATAACGCGGCTATTCACAGATTAAATAGCTACACAGTCAATAAATAGCTCCACTAGAAGATTAAATAGCTGAAGAAAAGTTTAAATAGTCATAGAAACACTACGTAGCTATTGATTAAAGTAAAACACTTATTCAGTAATTAAATAGCTATATAAAAAGACGAAATATCTACGCAAAAACCATAAGAGAAATATATATGAGAGAAAGTATCCCTTTTGAGAATGAGCCGCCCAGCAATTTTCAGTATTTTTCGTTGCTGGGTGCCAGAACTTAAATAGAAGTCATCATAATTTTGCGGTATTAGTGGCTGTACGAATGAGTATAGATTCCTTCTTGAATTCCACTCGTCATTCTATTAGTAACTTTCTCTATATGACAAACAAGGTAGGGAGAGGAAAAGTTACAGGAAATTACATAAAGTTGAGTTCTGGCAGTAAAAGCAAAATCTAGACTGGTACAGAGGTGATACAAGATGAGTATAACTTCTTTGGTTTTTGAAATAAACTTTCGGGATTAGGCCTTAACCGTTGGTCAACCAACGGTTTCAATACTCTTAACAAAAGAACAGAAATACATGCTCATTTATCCAAGTTCTTGGATGGAGGATTCGTGAGTGGTGTGGAATTTCTGATTATCAGTACAAAATATCAATAGTGTTTCAATACTGATACACTTTTTTATTTTATTAAATTAAAGCGTCGAACATGATATTTATCCAAATTGATGGCATACAGATTACCATAGCGATCGAAAGATAAACTGTCAACTCCGTCCCACTGCCACGTTTTACCATCAATAACAACACTGCCCTGTGTAGCTCCTTCACTCCAACGCATAATTCGATCATTGTTATCGTCAGCCACATAAAGAGTACCTGATTGATCAACAACAACTCCTCGTGGGGTGTGAAGTTGTTCAAGACTACTTCCTGATCCATGACCACCAGCAACAACAAGACCTGATTTAGCATTTTTTTCCCATTTCATTACACGATCGTTGTAAAGGTCAGTGATGTACACTGAACGATCTCGATCGACAAATACGTAGGATGGTCGATTGAGTTGATTGAGATCACTTCCCTTTCCATTGCCACCTGCAACTACTGTTCCTTCAGAATCTGCCCTTCCATATCGTCTCACCGCATGTTCACTGGAGAGACTAACATAGAGAAAGCCACTTTCATCCATGGTCAAACCCCAGCAATCAACGTGCGATATAATCGTAGTTCCACTTGTACCATTTTGACGAGGCCATCGAACCACTTTCTTATTACCACGGTCGCAGATGATGAGACTATCTGTCTCTTTGTCAACAATCATATCTGTAGGATATTCTAACTGATGAGTTCATTTCCTCTTCCATTTCCTCCAGCGACGACTTGACCAGTTGTTGCATTGACTTTCCATTTCATAATACGATGATTAAGTTCATCAGCAATCCAAAGGTTTTCTTCATCGTCCAAAAATAAACCTTCTGGACTTTTGAATTGATTCGTTCCATTACCTTCTCCATATCCTCCAGCAACAACAATACCATGTTGTTCCCAACGAGCATTCTCGGGGATATCAACAGGACTGCCACGCAATGGTGTCCATACTATTGGAAACATAAATCAAATAGACAGAAGCAAAAACAAAAGAGTCTGCTTAACTTTTATTGTCTCAAATGAATGAGAAAGGAGTTTTTAAATTCAAACAAGTCAAAGACGTAAAACACAACCAAAACAAAACTTAAACTTCTTTCGTTTTGCTTGATATTAATTTTTTTCATTGCGCCTTAGGAAGGAAAGAAAATATTTATTTTTGTTGCCTTCTGCTGAAAAGGAAATGGGTTTTCTCTTAGAAAAGAACTGAAGAATAGACAAAATCTAGTGAAGAGAAAGAAATTCATTTTTCTTTCATCTGCAATGAACCAGAGACTGATAGATATTAGTACTATTCAAAACGAAAGGTGATTAGAAGTGTGAAAACTTGAGAATGAAAATGTGAGAAGGTCAAGAAAAAGAGATACAAAACGAAGTTCTTTTTCTTTTATTGCAACAAGTGATTTTTATTGAATAAGTCTTGGAGGGAATAGAATGTTATTTTGTCGGAGGAGAAAAAGAAAATAAATTTTATAGCCTACTTATTTTTCATTTGCTAATATTTCTTTAGATAAGACAGAAAAAAGAAAACTTTCAATTACAGAATAGAAATAAATTCTATTATTTTATTAACACATTTTGAAAAGAGATTCGCAAGGAAAACTTTGAATTGTATTCTTAGTACTACTCTATTTAATTGAATGCAAAAATAAATGGAAAGAAAAACGTTTCTCTAACGCCTGACATGTAAGCATTTTACTCACCTGGTCGCTGAGTAGTAGTAATTGCTGTTGCTGTCGTGACAGTGGCATTACCTATTGTTTATAATCATAGAATCTGTACATAGACATGGTGCATAATTTTACGGTTCATATTAGAACCAAATATGGTCAAAGTTATAATGAACAATATGTATGATTTCTCACAACTGACAGGCAATTTTAGGATTTCTCGAGAATGAGGAAAATGTAATATTCAAAAACAAAGTTTTCAGTGGCGGATTTTCATGATGATAAGTAAGCGAGAAATTTTGGAATTTCTCATTATTCTGGTTTCAATACTAGCAATGATCTCTGTGATCTTCATACTTTGCTGTAATATATCTACAACTAAATATCATCCCAATAAACACTGATTTAGCAATTTCTTGCAAGTCCAAGACATTAACGAACCTTTTCAGAGACTTCAACTTCATTTTAACATTCTCTTATGAAACCGATCATCGAATAGAATTCAATATTCACTTACTTGCTCTGGGTGGACATAAATGCCGATTGAAACTTGGTACTGGATAGCAAACTGGCTTATTATGGCATAAGGGATGTTGAACACATCTGTATTCTGGATTGTAACAAGAATTATCCACAGGATCACATTCAAATAATTCCTTACAGTCGATAAATCGGTCAAGACAAAGACCTACGTTATTGGCACCAGCATCATAAAAGCAGTTACATGCACTATTTGTTGAACATCGGTCATACTGTGATATTCCGCGACAGTATTGAGATTTCACTCGAGCTATCGACAGACTAAATAGAAGGTAGAATGCAATACAAAAAGTGAGACAAATAAAATCTTTCGCATGCTTAATAGAAAAAGAAAACACTCAACCTTCGCTGGTTATGCAAATGAAAATATAGCAAAATTACCTCAATAGAATGAGTAAAAGTGAATTAGATACTATTGAAACCATCGTTTCTATTAAAACGAAATCGAGTGCTAACAATATTCGCTTTTATGTATGATGCGTATATCAGAATATTTCAATTTATAGAAATTAAATATCATTGCAAAGCTTACTTAAATGCTTTGTTTTTTTTTCTTTAGAAAAACAATCCTTGATAAAAAAAATCATATGAAAAAATGATTGGTCATATATGCTGCAAAGTAAATTCAGCTTGGAAAAAGCACTTGTATAATGATTACATTGCTATTTTCACAGTTAACATGTGAAATATATTCGACATGTACCAGTTGCTATTAGTACTTCGTATGTTTCATTGTCATCATATTCAATTTCTTATTTAAGCCTAATCAGTTTCAATTGCTGCTTTATCGTCGACTTTTCTTTGATATACCTACTAATTTGAAATCGATGCATGAGTATATTCATTATTTTCTTCTTCCAAAGCCTTACATACATACAAACCTTAGATGAGAAGAAACAATGAGAAAAGGCTTATTAAATTCGAAACAAATCGATGAAAATACACGAACTTGTTCGGCTGAACTGAGTGTGAATGTGACTGTTTGCTAGTAAAAGAAAACGAATATTCACATTTGTTTCCATCCGTGCTCCACAAAAAAAAAGTTTACGCAAAAAGATAGTTAGCGAGAATTCATCATCAAAAGGTGTGGGTGTTCATGTGATGTTTATCGAAGATATGAGCTACATTCATACCACATCTTTTTTGTAAGAATAAAAGCGTTTTCAGATAGTTGCCTTTGTTGTAATACGCTGTGCCAATGCTGTTATAGGACTGAGCCAAATCGGGATGATTCAGAAGCAGTGTCTTCTCTTGTTTTAGGTGGTTTTTCATAATATCTAAGGGCTTTCAAGTAATCACCCATGTTGTCATGCGAAAGACCAATATTGGAATAGATAGAAGCTAATGAAGAATGATCTGCTGGAAGAGTTTTTCGCTAGATGTTGAGTGATTTTCCGTACAATAAAGCTGCTTCTTGGTATTTTCCTTGATCAGATTTCAAATATCCAAATTGATGATAGATAAATGCTCTATCACTATCAGTAGAAGCATTCTTGAGTAAATCGTTGTAGAGTTTATCAGTTTGATTCAAGTGACCTACTGTGAGCATCAAGTCACCCATTCGATGTCATCCAGTAAACTCTCGAGTCTCCTCTCGTATGTATTCGGCGAGAGCACTCAGTTGTGGATCACTATCGTCGGTAAGAGTCAACTTAACTTCCGATAGACGATTATTGTTGGCTGTATGTGTAATTCCATCAACATGAAACACGGTGTGTATGGAGTATTAGAAGTCGAAATTTTGCTTTGGTCGATTGTCATGATAAAGAGAACGGCAACAATATGTTCATTTTTCTTTTAGTGCGTTTCCAACATACTACATCGTTGTTGCCTGCTTTGTAATCGTAGATAAGAAATTATTAAACCAGAGAAGCCCACCTTGAGCGCTAAGTAAATATTCAAAGTCCTGTTCGCTGAGGCCCCGACCACGATAAACGATAAATGATGTTTTAAACATACTTGACTGTTCATTGTACAATTGCTTTAGTTATTGATGCAAATTTCGGATGAAAAAGCTCATTTTGGTCGTGACTTCCATATCAAGTGACCGCAGAGCATAGTTAAGCATGCTGTACAAGAAAATATTACATGTATACCACCAGACTGACAGCTTCTGATAGTAGTGACGTTCGAAATCGTTCGGTTGAGATTCTGACATATTTTGTTTTCAACAATAAACCACTAAATGTTTTACCGCTTTTCTATCGTTTTCATCAATTTTCAATGCAATTTTCTTGAATAATACTGAGTAGGGTGTGGGTGTGGGTGTGTGGGTGTGGGTGTGGGTGTGGGTGTG